TTTGTTAGTCTCTAAGGTGCCACAAGTACTCCTGATCTTTTTGCGGATATAGACTAACACGGCTGCTACTCTGAAATCTGATTTGGAAAAAGCTACAGGGTAACATTTTTAAAATGTTGCTCCTATTTTTAGAACATGAATGAACTCATCTTATAAAGGACACTCAGGACCTGAGCCAGTGCCCACTGAAGTCAGTGGTAATCTTTCAGTTGACTTCAATGGGCTTTGGATCCTACCCTAAACACCAGCTAAATATAAGTATTTCTTTGTTATCATATGCTAAAATCTTCTGCAACTATTGAATGAGTTCACATTGTACTGTGTAACTCTAATATTTGATGATTTACGCTCTTATTGAATCCTACTACTGTGATCTCTGTTTTATATAATATTGAGAACTGCCCTCCTCTATTGAGTTGATGGCAGCTATTAACTTATGTCATGTGTGAAAGTAATATAATAAAAACAATAACTCCGAACAACACTTGTGTATAAATACAGAAGGTGTTCACAACTAATGTAACTGGAAATCTCATTATGGTAACCAAAAAAAAAAAAAAATCAATAGAAAAACCTGATATCACACCATCATTTCTACTTGAAAAAAATAGGGAACTGTTACTATTAGTGTACTCATTTGGGCTATATGACACTCCAAACCAAGACCTAGTCTACACCTAAAACTTAGGTTGACCTAGCTATGTTGCTCAAGGGTATGAAAAATTCACACCCCCGAGAGACACTGTTGAGCCAACCTAAGCCCCAGTGTCGATACGGCTAGGCTGATGGAAGAATTCTTCCATTGACCTAGTTACCACCTCTTGGGGCAGGGACGGATTCTTTAGTGATAGAAAAATCCCTTTTGTCACTGTAGCAAGTTTCTAAACTACAATGCAACAGCAGTGTAGCTGCTGCGCCATAGCCACTGTAGTGTTTGTAGTGTAGACATACCCAAAGTGCTCCTAAACTTACTTTTGTGGGATGATGCTATCTTTTAGTGATTGCTCAGTGTTATAGGCTGGTACACAGTATTGCACTAATTCCTCATCTGATTGAGACTTTTTGGTGACACTTAAGTACTAAAGTACCATCTGACGATTAATAAGAGAACGAAGAACCCCCTTCAGGAGGAGATCAATGTAATCAGGTAATATCGATGAAGCTCTATCATTTGAACAGATATGCCTGAGATGGAAAATAGAAAAGAAGATTCTATGGTGTCCAGATGTTAGCATATATAAAAATATATATATTGACTACATTTTGCAAACAAGAAACCTGTACAGAATACAATAGCACAGAGCACAATTCCTACCATAATGACAAGAAAGACACATGGTTGTTTGTTTTCTCTTTAAGTTCTCGGCACAATTTAACATGTTCCAGACTATCAAGGAACAGCTGGAGCAGCGAACTCTGATCCTGCAGGCCAACATTCGGTGGCAGCAGGAAGAGCTCCATAAAATACAGGAACAGCTCTGCTTGGTCCAGGATTCCAGTATACAGGTGAGTAATGTCAGTGTCATCACAAGAGGCAAACAGATCGTTTTCAGACTCTATTTCTTAGTGTGGGCTGTTTTCATTTTATTTTCAGAGTCAAAGAAATCTGAACTTGGGCAAACTAATTCATATGGATCAGGATATCATTCTGGGAGCCTGTCAGTCACAAAAATCAAGACATGCTAAGGGCTGTCTGTATAGGAGGACTTGTCCCAGCAGTCACAAGAAGAAATGGAAGGGCTGGTGGTCTTTCAGATTACTCCATCATAATGGAGCATTTTATCTAGTGAGACTTCAGAATGATCAGTTCTCATCAAAGGGTGTTCAGGCTGTGACAATGAAATCACCACTGCTTTGATGATGTCTTCATTTCACTAGCTTCCATTCACTTTTTGCTTCAGGTTAGATCTACTAGTCCTCAATATTAAGTTGAACAGCTCTGCCTCTGCCTACATCCCTTCTCTACTCTTCTGCACGCCAAACCCTACATATGCACCTTCACCCAAGCTTGTCTCTTTCACTCACTCCCAAATCAAGTAAAGGTGTAGGATCTGCAAGGGCTTCAGGCCACATATACTTAAGGACAGGGTGGGACATGGGTTTGAAGGCCCTGTTAATGGAAGCAGCACTTCGTAGGTCTGGTAGGGAGACGTTTGAATTCGATTATCTCTGTCCATCATTGATTGTACCCATAAAATTGGGTGCAAATAGAGGGGAGTTACTATCACACAGATTTCTGTATCTGTTTGAGTGGCATATGCCATATAGAGAACACAGGCATGCTGCATGATGTAAGCATGGAGGGACTTCCTTCTGCTCCCTGGAAGGAAGGGAGCCTGTAATACAGCCTCCACTTTCTCCCTTCAGCTGTTTCACTGGCATTCCTTCCCCATTTTCACTCCTTTTCAGGATGAATAATAGATAGCTCTGTGGAGAAACTAGCCCTATTTTCATTTTGTACACAGGATCTTCAGAACTGTAGAGCAGAAGTCAGTCAAGTAATACTCTCCCAATTGGAGAGATGTTGAGCCCAGTACTGTGTATTAGTAACTGTTTCCAAGAGCCCAGTGTGATGAAAGATGAACTAGCAGGAGGGCTCTGGTCCTTGAACAGAAGTGTTAAAAAAACCCATTAAGTCTCTTTTACTGACAAATGAAAGTACAGGAGCAGTAAGTATAATCTCAGATATCTGAAAGGATGCAGTGCCTGCTCCAGATTTAAAAATAGTGTAGTTAATGACTAGTGCATCCAGAGAAAGGCAGAAGGACTGAATCTGGCCAGTATGCTAGAATTACAAATGAGAACATCCATACCCACAAATAACGTACAAGCCAGTCTCTCTTGAAGGTGAATGAATCTTCGGCTCTTAGTGCTATGCCTTTCATCAGCATCCATTTTACCAAAAAGATAGTATTGATAAAAGATGCTGGCTTGATAGACCTGGAGGCAGGGCTGCACAGAGGGGGGTCAAATAGGGCAATTTGCCCCGGGCCCCGCCTCCCCCCATCCCCCGGCACCTCAGCGCGCCACATCAGGAGCGGCCCTGGACAGCACTGCAGCAGCATGGCTCCAGCGGGGCCTGAGCTCCTCCCACTGAGTCAGAGCTGCGTGGTAAGGGGCGGGGCTGCGAGCTCCATTCCCACTGGAACCACGCTGCTGCAGCGCTCTCCAGGGGCCAGAGCAGCTCCTGGACGCAACACGCTGAGGATCCACGAGAGGCGGCGGTAACCCAGGAGCGGCCCTGGACAGCGCTGCTGGGGGGGGGGGGCGGGCGGTCAGAGGACAGGGAATCGTGGACGTTCCGGGGGTTTGTCAGGACTCGGCAGGGGGGTGGATAGGGGTCAGGGCAGTCGGGACAGGGAGGGTTGGAGGGTTGGTACACCACCTACCTCCTTCCCAACCCTACCAAGTGAGACCCGCCTCCCCTGTATTCCCCAAGACTCCAAAGGGGTTAAGTCAGTGGTTCTCAAACTTTTGTACTGGTGACCCCTTTCACATAGTGTGACAAAGTTCCTCCTCTACCTTGGTGGGTCCTGCACTTATTGGCAGATTTGCTCGCTTCACAGATTCACCCTGTGGGTCAGGAAACAGTCCAGAGACCTTCCCCTCTGGTAGAAGCTATAGTCCAGATCAATTCCTCCTGTGTTTGATCAGAAGTTGGGAGGTATGGGGGGAACCCAGGCCCACCCTCTACTCTGGGTTCCAGCCCGGAGTCCTGTGGACTGCAGCTGTTTAGAGTGTCTCCTGGTACAGTTGCACAACACCTACAACTCCCTGGGCTACTTCCCCATGGCCTCCTTCCTACACCTCCTTTGTCCTCCCCACTGGACCTTCCTCCTGATGTCTGATAACGCTTGTACTTCTCAGTCCTCCAGCAGTACACCTACTCACTCTTAGCTTCTTGCACACCTCTTGCTCCCAGTTCTTCTCATTCACACACACTTCCTCTCCCCTGGCTTGGCTGGAGTGAGCCCTTTTATAGCATCAGAGGGGGCCTTAATTAGAGTCAGGTGCTTAACTGCCTCACCTGACTCTTAGCAGGTTAATTGGAGTCAGGTGGTCTATTAGCCTGGAGCAGCCCCTGCTCTGGTCACTCAGGGAACAGAAAACTACTTATCCAGTGGCCAGTATATCTCCCTTCTGCTACTCTGCTGTTCCCAACTGGTCTGGGTCTATCACAATAGCAAACTCTGAGTGCGACCCCCCCTTATAAATTAAAAACACTTTTTTTTATATATTTAACACTATTATAAATGCTGGTGGCAAAGCAGGATTTGAGGTGGAGACTGACAGCTTGCGACCCCCAGTAATAACCTCGTGACCCCCTGAGGGGTCCCAAACCCCAGTTTGAGAACCCCTGGGTTAATTTAATTTTAGCACCCTGTGTCCATTCACATGCATATGCTATTTTGAGCATTTCAGTTTTCACAACATAGGCTCATCCCAGATTCTGGAAGAAGCTCAAATGCTCAGTTCGTGGAGTATGTACATAGTCTATACTAAAGACAAATCCACAGTAACCTTCTCCAGTTTGTGAGGGACTCCAGGGAGCTAGTCTCTAGGAAACAGATAAATTCATGGAGGTTAAGTCCATTAATGGTTATTAGCCAGGATGGGTAAGGAATGGTGTCCCTAGCCTCTGTTTGTCAGAGGGTGGAGATGGATGGCAGGAGAGAGATCACTTGATCATTACCTGTTAGGTTCACTCCCTCTGGGGCACTTGGCATTGGCCACTGTTGGTAGACAGGGTACTGGGCTGGATGGACCTTTGGTCTGACCCAGTATGGCCATTCTTATGTTCTAACCTAAATGAACCCAAAGTTATGGAGACAGACATGAGTCAAGGAAGCCAGCAGAGTATCAGAAACCTGGAAAAATCTCTGACTGGATGGGCTCAGGCGTTTGGTTCAAAAGTTTTGGATTTTTTTAAGCAGAATTTTTTTATTGTTTCTTTAAACAATCAAACACAGCAAGCAGCAAATATTTGGCCACACACTTCTGAAACCCCAAACCATGTTCAGGTTTTGGCAGACTAATTTCAGCTTTTCAATTAAAAAAAACACAACAAATTTTGAAGGAAAGCAGACATTATCCATGATTTTTTTTCTGCTTTTTAAAAACCCCTAGTTTTCGATCCAAAAAAAGTTTGGACCGAAAATATTTGTTCAAACCTTTTAATGAGCTTTAGTCCCTTTTAGCACTAGCTGATGCTGAGAACCAGTGATATCTTGTAAAGGTGACTTGAAAAGAAGTTTTCTCAAAACAGGGTTTGTGCTGAGATGGTTAAGGTTTTTAAATGTTTATTTTTCCCAGGGCCGCCCAGGGAGGAGGCCGCAGGGGCCCCCACAAGAATATAGTATTCTATAGTATTGCGACTTTTTTTTATGGAGGGGGCCCCCAAAATTGCTTTGCCCCAGGCCCCCTGAATCCTCTGGGCGGTCCTGCCTGGAGGGTAAAAACTTCTGGATTTCTACAGAACAGCAAGAGTTGAACAGTGGCAGTTCAAGCTTTCTCATATTGCCTTGCCAATGTGATTCAGCCATGAGGTGGAGGAAATCCCTCTAGGAATGAGAGGGCAGCTGTGCTTCCATGTCCATTCGCTCCTTGGCTAATTGGTTGAGAATGCTAACAAGGTGGCCAATTAAGAAAGATTTGTAAGATGCTTCTCCTGACCTTGCACTCTGCAAAACAGTCCTGAGACATGTCATTATATGCAGTTCAGAGATGGCGTTGCTAGTTTATCTATTTGGATATGCTCAGTCTGAGGAGTGTTTCTTTCTACTTTGTGAGATTGTAGTAGTTATTTTATGCTGTGGTATCACTGTATTTAAAAGGAACCCAGATAGGACTACCATAAATTAAATATTTTGTGAAAAAAATTACTGGTAAATGTTGTACCAAGTATGTAATGTTTTCTTGTTTTTAAGTTTAACTAGCAAATTGAAATATCCACTGCACCTCTGATCCTCTCTTTAGTGAAGCCCTTTGGACTGATGATTAAGAACCCCAGATTCATTTAGCATCTTTTAATGAGCTATGTTTCAAAAAATAAAACACTATAAGCTTAATTCAGACCTCCTGTGAGCAGTCACAACTCCATTATGTGACCTATGTATTTAATACAAACTTTTTTGAAGGTGTCATCGGCCTATAGAAAAACTGCCACTAGGACCGTTACTTTACGGTCTATCAACATTTCCATTAATTGCTTCTTGCTTTTAATTTAGAGGTTTTTAATTTGACTGTAACTTTTTATCTGAGCTAAAACTTGGCATAAAAGAGGTCAGGTTGGGAGTGGATCTTTGTTTCAATAAAAATAATATAGACATTTTTAAACTAACATAATTTAATGAACAAGTCATATGTATTTTAAAAATTAGGTAAATACGTACTTATATGATGCACCAAAACATACTTACACAAAGGAAACACAATTTACCATGTCAGCTCTGTTGAATAAATGTGTGTTGTCTTTCCAAAAAGGAAGTGTAAGGGATGTGACAGTTTAGGGAATTGGTAATACAAAGTGTACATTACTAGACATACCTCAGATGTGTTGTAAGGCATGAGGCTAATAAGGAATCGTGATTCTGATTTTACCTAAACCAAGGTAAATCATGAGTAACTCCATTGAAATTAATAGTTTTACGTAAGTGTAAAACTGGTGTGAAATCAGAATCGGACCGAAGAATGTCTGCAGCCTCTGATGTGGCATGTCGATCTTTGACTAGGTTTTAAACACTACAAAGACAACTTGCAACATTAATAAGATACTGTTTAAAACGATGGCTTTTTTTTTCTGCATTACCGTAACAATAGAAATAGCCCCTAGAAAAACAAAAGAAACTGCAACTTTTAAGACTGCATCACTTTGCAGTAAAATAAATAGTGTCGAATTGTTTACAGAAGCACTGAGTAGATAACAGGTGCTCTGTTAGCTTTTTGTCATAATATTTTAAGTGCCCCTCATGACCTGACTAGGCGTAACACCAGGAGATAGTTATCTGACTGGAAGTTAGACCGAAGTATAGTGCTCACCAGTTTATTAAGGCTTGGTCTACACTTAAAAGTTACGTTGGTATAGCTCTGCTGGTCAGGGGCATGAACAAACTACACCCCTGACCCGCATAGCTACGCTGACCTACTCCCCAGTGTAAATGCAGCTATGTTGAGGGAAGAGCGCTGCTGTTGATGTAACTGATATCGTTGTGGGGGCGGGGGATGTTTCTTTCTATTAGTGTAGGCCAGCGGTTCTCAAACTGTGGGTCGGGACCCCAAAGTGGGGCTGGCATTAGACTTGCTGGGGCCTGGGGCTGAAGGCGAAGCCCAAGCCTCACCGCCCGGAGCCAAAGCCCAAAGGCTTCAACCTTGGGCTGCAGGGCTCAGGTTACAGGCCCTTCACCTGGGGCTGAAGTCCTTGGGCTTTGGCTTTGCCCACTCCCACCTGCCTGGGACAGGTTCAGGCTTCAGTCCCCCTCCTGGGGTCGTGTAATTAAACTTTTGTTGTCAGAAGAGGGTTGTAGTGCAATGGAGTTTGAGAACCCCTGGTGTAGGCTGTGTCCACACTAGGGAGCTATGCCAGCATACCTATGCCGACATAGGCTCCACAGAGTAGACATAGCCGTACATAGCTTTGCAGGGACAAGGGATAAGCCATGCAACATTGGGAGCTTGTGCCTGGCTGTGACATCATTAAAAAGACTCAGCCAGACACTCCTTTATGGTGTTGAACTATCGGAGACAAATTTGAAGGCAGCCTGTAACGATGCAGTTCTGGCAGGATCCAACTGTGAGTGTCAATTCAGGACAAATTACTTAAACAGGGCAGTTACAGCCCAAGGCTGGGGTTTTTCCACCTCTAAGGTAAACCAACCAGCTAGACAAAGAGGACTTTGGTCTCACCCCACTGGCTAACCACAAGTCACACAAGCAATTCCCTTAGACACTCCAGTTTCCCAGTATCACCACCAGTGCCACTCGTTATGGGGACAAATGGTTATGAAAACCCACACCCCAGTAAAAGAGAAAAGGTTCTCTTGATCCCAAAGGACCGAGCCCCAGACCCAGGTCAATATACAAATCAGATCTTACCCACAAATCACGCTGTTGCCAATCCTTTAAAATCTAAAATCTAAAGGTTTATTCATAAAAGGAAAAAATATAGATGAGAGTTAGAATTGATTAAATGGAATCAGTTACATACAGTAATGGCAAAGTTCTTGGTTCAGGCTTGTAGCAGTGATAGAAGAAACTGTAGGTTCAAATCAAGTCTCTGGAATACATCCCCAGCTGGGATGGGTCATTCAGTCCTTTGTGTAGAGCGTAAGTTTGTAGCAAAGTCCCTCCAGAGGTAAGAAGCAGGATTGAAGACAAGATGGAGGAGAGGCATCAGCCTTTTATAGTCCTTTCCAGGTGTAAGAACACCTCTTTGTCCTTATTGCGGAAAATTACAGCAAAATGGAGTCTGGAGTCACATGGGCCAGTCCCTGCATACTTTGCTGAGTTGCAAGGCGTATTTGTCTTCTCTCAATGGGTCAATTGTATAGCTGATGGTCCTTAATGGGCCATCAAGCAGGCTAGGCAGAGCTAACACCAACTTGTCTGGGATGTCTCCCAGAAGCATAGCATAAGTTTGAAATACAGACCGTATACAGCCGATATTCATAACTTCAACTACAAAATTGATACACACATATAGACAACATAATCATAACCAGCAAACCATAACCTTGTCTTAGACACCTCATTTGACCCCCTTTATACAAGATTTGGTGCCACTATAGGACCTTGGTTGCAACCATGTTCTATACGGTCCCAGTTCAAATAAATAACGTGACACAGCCTCAGCTTTCTTTGCTAAAAAGAGAGGCCAAGGATTGAATGGGCACAGAATTAATCTCCTATCCCCACAGGTGGTCCCTCCAGAACAGAGTTAATGCCCATTGAACTGCTGCTACAGTTTTGTGCTTTGCTGTGTGGAGAGAGGACTTCAGCCTTCGGGCACCATTCATGAACAGTGAATATACTTCAAAAAAAAAAAAGATTGCACAATGTATATTCTAAAAAGGGCATATGATCACAACTATAGCACAATGTTAATTAATTTAGAAATATTATGATCTTCCTTTTAGGATATGAGAGCTTATTTCAGAGAAAAAGAAAAAAAAAGTTCTTCTTTTTTCCAGATGTTTTTACAGCAGCCAACAGTGTCCCTGAGCTTTAGCAACATACAGCAGCCAGATCCTCAGCAGCTACAGCAGAGGTCAAGGGTCATTTCTCAGCAGCAGCTTATCCCCAGTCCTCAACTTCACGGGCAAATTGCATCTTCCCAACCAGCAAACCAGCAAATATTAAGAGAAGCAAATGTGGTGTCAAGCCAGGTAAACATATTATTTCACTACAAAGAAATGAATATGGATACAAGCCACTGAAGTCATTACTGAATGATCACAGATAACAACATCAGTATTGTAAATAGAATCGTGTGGCCTTTTTTATATTTCCTTCTAAACAAAAGCTTCTCCCCATAGCTTTCTCCTTTACTTTAAGACCTGTTTTTTTTAAAGATCTGAACCAGGAGCATTATGCAGCCAGCTTGTTTCTGCTTTAAAACTGAACAGGGGCGTGTGTGGAGACCTATTTTTCTTTTATTGTTCATGAAAGGTGACAGGTTGACAACCACGGAGACTGGCAGTATCTGCAACAGCAAGGCAACCTTTCCAGCACCAAAAAAGTGCTTTAACCTTGTCCTGGTGGCTAGTTTGCTGACACACCCAGTCAGTCGTGGCCTGAGACCATCAACACAGCCTATTTATGGCTAGTTATGATGGTGTATTGTTGATGTGTGGGGCTTGCCCATAAGGAACTGAACTGAGAACACCATCTTACAAGAGCAACAGACTCCAGCCCAGAGAAATAAAATTAAACTCTTAACTAGTAGCAATTGAGAGCTGTGATTCTGCGAGTATGCTCAGCATAGTTATCTTTCTGCCTTATTGCAGAGCTTTCTCTGCATTTCCATTGTTCCTTCTTCAGCATGATCCCAGCACACACCCCTATTTCTGTTCACTTACTGCTGTTCGGTGAACACATTTACAACTGTACCTTCAAATCACGCAGTGGTACCTCTTAACCTCCTGTGCCCTTGTGTTAAACAAGTCTATTAAAATGCTCCCATGGTTTATAATAATAAAAAAAATCAGGGTGGATAAAAATCAACGATTTTGTTTAAAAAATCGGATTTTTTTATTTAAATCGGAATTTTTTGATAAAATTATTTTTGAGGAAACAATGTTTCTAAAGATAGTTTTAATTAAGATACATTATAGCTCAAAGGTATCTCATCGTGGAATAGGGATTATAAATTCTAATTCTGTAGTATGAGACAATATATTCATGTAATGTTTAAGAAAAGTTTTGTAAATGAGTTTCAATAGTTCATGGATTAGGGACCCAATCTTATGGGGTTCCAGGGGCTTCTGTATAGATTGTTTAGGTTAATCTTTCTATCTACCCAATGGGACTCAGTGCTCAGTCTAGAAGATACCATCAGAGATGCTTAGTTTTGCAGTTCTCAAACTGGATTTTTGTCTCCAGAGATAACATGCTTGTTAACAGCAAAAATATTTTTACATAAATAAATAAATAATATATAGAGATGAGAAATAACAGACCTGAAGCCTATTGTCCCTCTCAAATTTGTGTACACAGAGTCAATCCCTTACCTCTCTCTAAAAGTGCAAAGTTTCAAAAAGTTCAATGAATAGAAGATTGTTGGGGGCGGAATAGATCTGGACAAGGAGAAGAAGTCTGGACATAAATGTGAGAAGGGAGGGACAGGCAGTAGAAACAAAAGTGAACTGTTTGAGCAGCGTATTCCAGAAGTCTTGAGGTCTTTCTGAGTGTAGCCTTCATTGATTTGAGATCTACCATACCATTCTCTCACTAGAAGGGAAAACCTATAATGGCAGCAGGCCATAAAAGAGATCCAGTTTGGGAATATTTTAATGAAATTCCTCTACCTGTGAGTAAGACAGGCATGCGTGCAAAATGCAAACAGTGCAACAAAGAAATGCAAGGCCTGGTTGCCCGAATGAAACAACATCATGAGAAGTGTTCCTTCTCAGGAGGAAGCTGCATTGAAGATGATGAAAGGAACATATCTGAACATGCAGGATCTTTAGGTTGGTAAACTTTTTTATTTCATACTTCTCTCTTAAGGGCTGACTGTCTTCCTTCTGGACTATTCTTGAATTCTCATGTTTGAGCAAAAAATATAGTTGTTACTCTATGGTACTATTTTAGATGCAGTTGTGATAAAAAATAAATAGCTGAAATAGGCAGATCTTCTTTTTACAATTCAACCTTTAAAGTTGTACTGAGTGTCAGTGAATGTAATGAGTGGTACTAAATGAGCAGTATGGTAATAATAATTAAATAACTGCATTGTCTTATTTTGTTTAGGAGAATCCATCCTCAACGTACAGGATTCTGAAGACTATCCACCTTCAAGATCACCATCATTTTCTATAGTTTCAGACTTATCTGCCAATGATAGTATTTCAGTCACATCATGTATGTCACATAGCCACAGTATATCACCTGTAGCAAAAAGAAGAAAAAATCTCCATCATCCAGAAACAACCATAGATAAGTTTGTGATACCGGTAAGAACCAGCAGATTACAAAAAGAGGTAATTGATGAAAAAATTGCCCAGTTTGTTTATGCAACAAACTCTCCTTTCCGTATGATTGAGAACCTACACTTCATTAACATGGTTCAGTTATGAAGACCAGGATACAGTCCACCCAACAGAGCAGATGTCGCAGGCAAATTGCTGGATAAAGTGTATGAAAGAGAAATTGAGCAATGTGCAGAAGATCTAGAGGGTAAAATTGTTAACCTGAGTCTTGATGCGTGGAGCAATGTCCACAGTGATCCTGCTGTATGTGCTTGTGTGACAACAGAAGAAGGGAATGTCGATACAGAAACAATTGATACATCAGGAAATGCACAGCAGCAGAATACTTACAAGAAGTAGAAGTAAAAGCTATAACAAACTGTGGAAAAAAATTCAAATGTCTAGTACGCAGCTTGGTCACAGACGATACTGCAAATGTATCCAAGATGAGAAGAAATTTAGAAGGGAGTCCCAAGCTAATAACATACAGTTGCAGTGCTCATTTGATGCACCTCCTAGCCAAAGACTTCAGTGTTCCAGAAATAAAGGCTAATGTTGTTGAAACTGCAAAATACTTCCGTAACAACCACTTTGCAGCAGCTGCTCTGAAAAAAGTGGGAGGAACCAACCTAACTCTCCCACAAGATGTGCAATGGAACTCAGTAGTGGACTGTTTTGACCACTATATCAAGAACTGGCCTAATCTGATGACAGTTTGTGAACAAAATTGTGAAAAAATGCATGGCACTGCAACAGCCAAAGTTGTCAACATTGGGCTTAAGAGAAATGTTGAACACGTGCTGAGTACCTTGAAGCCTATTTCTGTAGCCTTGAACAAAATGCAGGGAAATAGCTGTTTTACTGCTGATGCTGTTGAAATTTGGAAGGAACCGAGTGAGATCTTAAAAAGAGAAATATGCAATGACAGAGTTAAATTACAAGCATTAAAAAAACGAATGGGACAAGCACTATCTCCAGCTCATTTTCTTGCAAATATTCTCAATACTCGGGACCAGTGTCAAACCTTAAGTGCTGAAGAAGAGGAGCTGGCTATGACATGTACATCCAGCAATTGTCCCTCCATAATGCCAACCATAATAAACTTCAGAGCTAAGGGTGAACCATTCAAGAAATACGTTTGCTGATGATGTTTTAAAAAAAGTCACACCAGTGAACTGGTGGAAGTCACTTAAGCACTTGGATTCAGAGACTGTTGAAGTGATAATCTCACTTTTAACAGCAGTAGCTTCTTCTGCCAGTGTAGAAAGAATATTTTCTTCCTTTGGACTAATGCATTCCAAACTGAGAAATCATTTGGGATCTGAAAAAGCAGGAAACCTTGTTTTACTTTTCCAGATTATAAACAAACAGGAAAATGAAGGTGAAGACGACTGAGTTAGCTGCAAAAGCCAATATTTTAAGTTTCTCGTGTTGACCTGGCTGACAGTCGATTTAATTTTTGTTTAAAAAAATATATATTTCATTTAACTATTTTAGTTAAAAACAATTTTAACAAAAAAAAACCCTGATTTTAAAAATCTTGAATGTTTAACTAAATTCAAAAATTCACATGCTTATTTTGTTAAAATAGTATATGTTTGCCATTGAAGAAAAAAATCCAGAATACATAAAGTTGTTGTTTTAGTTAAATAAAACAATTTACATGTCTGTCTGGTGATGTTCTCCTCCTAATACAGCATGGCAAGAAAATCCTCCAAATATTAATGATTAACCTCTTGAATTGGAGATATTTCACCTCCCAATGACTTCATAAATATCTGCTTCAATTACCTTTGGTAAATGAAATAACCAAACAATCATTCATTTTCTGATGTAGCTGTAAAACTAACCTGAAAAGTTTTCAAAATAAATCACTTTAAAAATGTATCGTGTGTATCTTCTAAAAATGAAACCTACATCTATCTCTGAGTTGTGAAGAATATGTATTAAGGTTATAACAACTAACAAGGATGCACTTTTATGTAGAAATCCATGATTAAATCGAGTCTTCCTGACTAGTGATTTAAATCAATTTGATATAAAGCAAATCCACCCTGAAAAAAATCCTTTTCTACATAGTAAGGTTTATTTCCATCACAGGGCTTAAATGACAATAGTGATCCCTTCTAATTTTGCTTTGGTGTTGTCTTGGGGGTTTCTGTGTTTCCAGAACTGGTTCTTAGAATTACAGGGCCTGCTTTTCTTTCAGAGTACTCTGGTTTCAGAGTCAAATACTCTGAAAAGTCTATAAAATAAAACATGGTGAAATAGTTGTGGTGCATATGTGAGGGTAATAAATAACATATTACAGACTTTTAAAATTTATTATTTGTACTGCGATAGCACCTGCCTGTGTACACACACACACACAGGGCACACCTCATCATGTAATAATTAAGGTTATGCTTGTGTCACATGATCACCGTATGTGATTTTTAAGTCTTTCTCCAAAAACTGGTCAGGAATGACTTACCTTTCCTTTGACAGGTTTCAGAGTAGCAGCCGTGTTAGTCTGTATCCGCTAAAAGAACAGGAGTACTTGTGGCATCTTAGAGGCTAGCTTATGCCCAAATAAATTTGTTAGTCTCTAAGGTGCCTCAAGTACTCCTCAAAAAGAAGAACAGGAGTACTTGTGGCACCTTAGAGACTAACAAATTTATTAGAGCATAAGCTTTCGTGGACTACAGCCCACTTCTGTTACTCTGAAACCTGAATCAAGTACTCCTGTTCTTTTTACCTTTCCTTGTCTACTTTCACTGTCTTTCCTGTCATCACTCTGTGCAGTTGTTCTCAGACCCCAGTTTGCCCCCAGACTTCCAGGAAAACAACTGTAATGTACCAGATCAGGACATGTCAGTCATTCACTTCTTCTGCCCAAATAGCCCTTTCTATTCTGAAGTCCAATCAGAGTATATCACAAGGGTACCTCCTATAACACACCATAGGTTTTGCTCATATATTCCCTGCCATAATAAAAATCTATAGTTAGAGAGAGAGAGAGTGTGTGTGTGTGTTTTAAAAATTGTAGTCTAGAATCAGAAATCAATGAGAAGTGCACAAGTAATGCAGAACACCAGTCACTCATCCAGCAGCCTAGCTTCACAATTTACCAATTCTGCTGTGCTCCCACAGGCTGTGAACATGGCTCCATCTGCTGCTATAGCACAGGATAGCAACCAGTGTCATGCTAGTCCAGATTTCAGCCAGGACCGACAACTGAGGTAAATGATTTTTAATAAATTAATCAATTCTGCCCTGACAAAAAAGCTGTCCATTTATCATTTTACTACATGATAGATGAGGATTCTGAACACTAAGGAGGGTGAGGTATGTTAACAAAGTTGTGGAGTGAAAGGCACTAGAACCTGAGGTCTGCAGACCCCTGGGGGTCCGCAGACTAAGTCCAAGATTTCCAAAGGGGTCCACACCGCCATTCAAAACTTTGTAGGGGGTCCTCAAATGAAAAAACATTGAAAATCACAGCACTAAAATGAAAATACGTATGCCTTGAAAGAAAAAATGGGTTAAAAATCAATAGATTACCGAGAACTAGATTGTGAGTTGGAATACATGTTCATGCAGTAACTTAGTTCTTCTCTTTCCCATGTGCAAGACTGTTGCTCAGCCAGCCTATTCAGCCAATGATGCCTGGCTCCTGTAATTCAAGACTCGCTTCAGATATCAGTGTGGCTGGACGCCAGGCTAAGTATGTTACGTGTGAAAAATAAAGCACTGAAGTGACTTTTGAGAGAGCGTGGCCTTTTATAATGAGATCTTCCAGTACTAGTAAACATCAGTTCCGATTCTCTTTGAGTACGAGGCTTCTAGGGTTAATCTTACCCTTTCTGGTTGGTTCAGTGTCTAAAATTACTATTGTGAGAAACAGAATGTGTTAGTGGGATTTCAGCAAGCCAAGAATAGGGAACCTTTCTTTGTTTCTCTCTCTCACATTTAGTACTTGTCCCAATGCTGAGTTTCTGATCCACCAAAATGAGTACGAGGAAATATACTAAATATCTGAGCTCAGCGTCAGTACTGACCCACCTTGAATTGCTAGGGCCTGATTCTCCTCTCACTCTAGTCTGACATCAGTGTTACTCCACCAGGGCCGGTGCAAGGATATTTTGCGCCCTAGGCGAAACTTCCACCTTGTGCCCGCCCTCCCGTTCTCCTCCCCCTGGAGCATCGCTTATTATAAACTTTCACAAATGAATGCTGCATAATGTGGCATTGTTCATTAGAATTAATACATGTTCGGCTTGAAAATTTATTAATTTCATTATTTAGTCTACATATTTAATTAAAATAAATGGCCTTGGGTCTCCTGCATGTGGCTAGAGTCCCTCCTGCCTCCCCACCACCCCTCATGGATCTGGAAAGGGCTGTTTTGGGGATCAGAGCACAGAGCTGGGAGTCGGGATCTGTCTTCTATTCTCCACCCTGGCACCAACTCACTGGATGACTTCAGGCAACTTACTTCCCCGTTCTGGGCTTCAGCTCCCCCCAGCGCTAAGGTGTGAAATGGTTCCTTGCTCCTGGGCTGGATAGTGCAGTGCAGGTGGGAGGGGGTGTCTGAAGGCCTGTCTTCCCCACAGGCGTGAGGCGAGGACAGAGTTCTAGCCTCCATCTTGACCGTCCTGGTTGCTTTACTCTGCCCCACGCCAATTGCTGCTGAAGCCCCTTACTCAGAGAGCTCTGGCCCAGGGCAGAGGCATCAGTGTCATTCTGGGCCTGATTTTCAGAGATGCTGAGCACCTGCAGTTCTCCCAATGTCTGTGGGAACTCTGGGGTTCTCAGTATTTCTGAAACTCAGGGCAATTTATTTCGAATACTGAGCCAGGACTGAGCCTGCAAAGGCAGCCTGAGGGCTTGGGGAGGAGGCAGCTCCGGGCTGGCAGGGGAGGCGCGGGCAGGCAGTGATGTGGGGCGCGGCGGCAGGGCCCGTGGTTGCAGAGGATGCCCGCAGAGGTAGGTGCTAACGCAGCTGCAAGCGGCCCGTCCCCCCGCCAGGAGCAATAGTGTAAAAAAAAAATTGGGGGGCACCGCTTTTTGGCGCCCCCAAATCTTGGCGCCCTAGGCAGCCGCCTAGTTCTCCTAGTGGTTACACCGGCCCTGATTTACTCCACTGATATCAGTGAAGTTTCTCCTGATTTACCCAAGTGCAAGTGAGAGAAGAACTAGGTGCCCAGCATCTCGGTGCTACATGAGAAGCTGCTAAATGAACCAAATTAATTTTCATTCCTTCCAAACCAAAGGAGAAAACATAGTTGTGCTCAATTTCTCATTCACAATCTTGTTCCTGGTCTTCCTCCTTTCCCTTTCCCATTCCCTCCCCCGACCTTGTTCTGGAGAATTTATAATCTGTGCCAGGCCTAATCCTGTAAGGTGGCTCACAACTGAACCCTATGTTAATAGGAGATGTTTCAGGAAACCTAAGAAGATGCAGGATTTTAGGCTGATAATTCATTAGCTGGCATTCTTCCCTCTGAGTCAGTAATTAACCAGTTCCTCAACATATTGTTCGGGGAAACGTGCAGATAGAGGTGCTGTCTTTCAGATGAGTTTGAAATTGAGGTCCCTATCATTAAAGGTCCAGTGACACTATTTTAAGGATAAGGATTTTAGCCCTAGTACCCTGACATCACATCTGATTTTTCAACAGTTTATTCTTGATTTTTTTTTAAATAGATATTCTCAAAACCAACAATTGTTTCAAAGTCTGGAACTGCAAACTTCCAGCAGCAGTTCACCTATAGTGCTGATGGGACAGGCAGTGTTACATCCACGGTTTTCTGCATCACAGCCTTCTCAGACATCATCTCTGCAACCTATGCAACTCCAGCAACAGCAGCAGCATTGCTACCTTCAGGTGGGCTAGAACAGAAAGGATAATAAACACGTTGTATCTGTGCAATAATATGCAAAGCAATAAAGAACTTATGATCTTTAGATGGCAGAACAAATGGGGTCTGATCATGCTCTCACCAAAGTCAGTGGAAGTTTTGCCATAAACTTCATTGGGAACATGACTGGGCATGTGCTACATAGATTTCCATACTAAAGATGTTAAATTTTGCAAATATCATAGAAATTAAATAAGGACCTGAAATGTTATGTGAACCTTTCAAACACACCAATTAAGCATTAAGCTAAGTCAAAATATTTAAAAAAAAATACCAATACTGTAAATTGGAAAATTAATATGGCAAACCCAAATGTACTTAAATCACAGTCACAGTCAGTCAGAAAATTGTCACCATGGGGTTAAACTTTAGTGTCTCATTGCTTCTGTATTAAATTTCCTCAGTTTACAAGTCAAAAGATGATTTTTCTAACTGTGCTTTTTCTAACTGCCAGTACCACAAATTTGAAATGAGATCTGAAAATCCAGGTGGTTTTTTTTTACTATCTTTTACATCATCACATTCGGCATTAAAGTTTCTGAAGGTGGAACTCAGGTGATAGTGCTGTTGCTGATGTGCTAAGCCAAAACAGAATCCAGCTACTATAGTTGTGTTGAAGCTACAACTTCGACTGAGTTGAGTGCAACCCTGGAAATAACTGTATATGAAACATCAGTTCACTTTATTTAATAGTTTTAGATGCATATCAGGCAAAGGACTTCAACAGTGGTGAGGAACAGGACATTTTATAATGATTAGACTGGGGCTAGGTATCAGAATTCCGGAGTTCTATTCCTAACTCTGCTGTTGTCTCTCTGTGTGACTTGGGCAAACTGTTTAATTTCTGTCCATCTCCAAAATGGGCCTAAGGATACTTACAGTACAGGAGTGTTTTATGTAGTAATTAGTGTTTGTAAAAGGCTCGCAAATCCTGAAAGATGATATGGAAGAGCAAAGTATTATAGTTATTATTAAATAAGTCATCACAGACCAAAGAACTACCCATATCAGGAATATATATACTAGTATAAAGTGCAGCTGGGTTGGACTGGAAATGGGTTGATCTTGAAGCCAAAAGCCAATTTCTAAATCTAATATGCCCTCCAAAGGATTTCATCTTGTTTCATGGACTCTAATAGCTTCTGTGCTGTGCTCTCTATGCTTTTTTTCTCACCCTGAACAAAGACTCCCTGAATAGCTCTTCTCTCACAGTAATCCCTATTTAAATAAACAAATAAACAACCTTCTTTTTTTTAACCCATATTTCTCCCTCAAGGGGCAAGGAGCATACAGCCTGAAAAAAACAGGTGATATGAACCAGCTAATTGATTTATTCTTTGGGACTAATCCAACCCATATTGAAGTCAACAGGAGTCTTCCTATTAACTTCAGCTGAATTGGGCCTGTAAAGCTGATCCCAAACCCTATCTCTGGTTTTTTCTGCTCTAGATCCCTAAGTGGCCCCCTTCAGAATTGAACTCACAACTCTAGGTTTAGCAGGCCAATGCTCAAACCACCAAGCTATCGCTCCCCCCTGAAGTCAATAGCAAAATTCCATTGATTTCAAAAATCTTGGGATTAAAATCTTGTAGACTGAAACTGATGGAAAAGCCACTTCTGTGCTATTGGACAGATCCTATTCCCATTAAAGTCAATTTTAGAACTCCCATTGACTTCAATGGTGCAGGATCAGGCCCTATTACCTAAGCTAACCAATACCAGGACACAGTCTATGAAATATTTAGCCTAAGAATAAGGCTGCAAACTAATAATTTCCTAAAATACCTTTCACATTAAGAAACAAGAACTTTTGTATCAAATCACACAAATGAATTTTCTTTTATCTGTAGGTGCAGACACCAAGTCCTTTACACAGTGAGCAACCCGATTCTTTGCTCCTGCCGTCCTACTCACAGCAGCAAGGAAATATAGGATACCATCATACACAGCAGCAGCCACTGCCACTTGCTTCAAGAAGAACCAGTAGCTTGTCAGAATCATCAAATCTACCACAGCCACTATGATAGAGTCCCACACCAGCAAAATCAATGCACGATTAGCTATAACCCATAGACCTGTGGGGCAGGAGAGAAGAAATGACTGAACCTACAATTTTGACTTTTGCACATGCATTCATTTCAAAGCTCCATGGCAGTAGCAAACCACAGAGTGCGGACTGCAGCAGACAATGCAACAGAAAAGGAGTTGGATTCAGTTTGCACTGTTTCATGACAATATTATGTATCATCAGGCTGAGTGAAAATAAATACGAATACTATCCTGTGCAAACTCCCTCACTGATTGCTGTGCGGCAGGAGAACATTCTTGTTGGTACATCATTCTGAGAGCACTCTGATTCCTAAAGATTGTGGACAGACACATGAGGTACTTGGCCTACACTGTTTCAGTTCATCTTTTGTGAAGAAAAGCAATGGAACAAAAATGTATAGAGCAGAGAACAAGAGATTATTTTTATTATGATTATTATCGTTGTTTTGCACAACTGCACAGAAGATATAACCTAGGCACTTTCTATAAGGAGAGATTTGTTTTGTTATTCTGGTGGCCAGACTGGTACATCCAATTAAACAGAAAGCCCAGTCACAGTTAAAAATGCTACACAATGTATACCCCTTGATTTATAACCTAAAGGTATTAAAGCAGTTTACCCTACCAGCAATTTTTGATTAAAAACAAAAAACACTGGACTGTTTCCTCTTTACTCTGTGAATTGTGACTGCGAAGGAGAACTAAAAATATAAGCACAATCATGCAGCTGTATTGTTCCAGAATTCTAGTAGACTCTTTGCTAATATAAAGTGGGTCTTTCTGCAATATGAACAGCCCACTTACAACTGGTCATAGCAACAAGTATCTGAAAAATATGCACTGTGTTTTGGCCCAATGACTAGGGATGCTGCAAATTATCACATATCTTTTTCATGATAACATTTGAATTTTCCTTTAAAAAATGCACTTTTTGCTTTTTTGTATGTTTTATGTTTCTAAGAAAGATTTTATGTAATTATAAAATAAAAAGTAGTGTATTGTACAGCTGTTGTAATAATGACCTATTTCTATATAAAATAAAATTATATGGAATTATGTGGAAATTATTTTGTATATGAAATATCAACTCATTTCACAAGTATAAAGTTTTTTTTGTGCTTTTTATTTATTTATTTTTGTGAGTGGCTATTTAGTAATAAATTAATGAATTGCTGTCTCATGCTATATACATCCTCAAATAATTTTTTTCTTTCCATTTAATAATGCACATTTGTATTTGCTCTGGAGCATAATAAAGTAACTGAAAAGTTTTACTACAGAATTTACATACATTCTCCTTCCTATGGCGGTTTAACTATGTAATTCAATTTAGACCTGAAAGGCTCGCTATAACCTCACCAACTGTTTGATGTTTGTTTCCAAAAAAACCTATTCTGACAGTTGTTCCTCTCCTTGTTTCATCACAGGTAACCAGAATAATACTGCTTTAGGAAGCCCCAAAAGATAACAACATTAAACTTGTACCTGTAGGTAACTAGTTCCTCATCGGGAAATATCATTTCACTTAAAGTTCTCAAGACACTATGGGGCAGAGCCAAGGTTTTAGTTTTAGCCAAGGTAGCCATGGGGTAGGAGACAAAAATATGGCTTAAAGCTTTGTTAGTGCTTTCCTGATCCTGGAGACAGCTAGAGACTGTTTTGCCTCTGCCATAAATTAAAGCAGCTTGAGGGCTGCCCCAACCCAGAGGTTCTCAAATTGGAGGGGGCGGAATGTATTCTGGGGGGCAGGGGGCGTGAGACGCTTGGGAGGGAGGGAACTTACTGTGCACATTCAGAGCTGGGCGGATGGAGAGCAGTGGCTGCTGGCCAGGCACCTGGAGGTGTGGGGGAGGGATAAACTGCTCCAGGTACAAAGGAGGAGGGGGTGCTATCAAATATGCTTGAGAACCACTGCTCTGAAACCTGCTCTAAGTTATGTTGGCTACAACTGAAGCCAAAGGGCTGTTGCACTGACAGGGATTACCAGAGTGCAAGGTGCTCTGGCCATACTCCCTTCCTTCTTTGACTCCAGATCAACAGCGCTGATGGGCTCGTGAAGTGTTTCCACCACTTTCTGTCTTGAATCAGTTTTGCAGCTTAACTCATCGTTAATCATTTTTGTTCTGTCATTCTTCACAGTGTCTAGCCAAGGCATCCTTAGTCTTCCTCTGATTCTAGTGCTTTACACTCTGGTATGTCTGACCATGTCAAATATCACATGTCAAAATCATCCAGTTGTCTTCTTTAAATCTTCTGTAACAGTTATTTCTTGCCCTCGCCATTTGCTTATCACTTCTTTTTTTTTATTTGGTGTAGACTTAACCATAGGTGCAGGAACAAGGGAGGGGTGCTGCTGCACCCTCTGTCTAGAAGTGGTTTCAGTTACATACAGGGTTTACAGCAGGGGTCAGCAACCTCTGGCACATAGTAAGCACCCTGTTTACCTGCCACATCCGCAGGTTCAGCCAATCGTGGCTCCCACTGGCCACGGTTTGCCGTCCAGGCCAATGCAGGAAGCACCCCCACTATAAAAATTGTTCCAGCACCCCGGTCTTGAAACTCTCAATATTCCCCTCACCAGTTCATTTCTGCAGTCAATAATCTTGTTTGTTGGAATCTTATAGCCAGGGGCAAAAACCAGTAGTTTACAGGAGGAAACGATAAACTTGCCATGCTTGATTTCCAGTTAACTGTTATACAGGAATATGATGCTCTTAAGAATAGACTGAGGGCCAATGTCCATCCTTTCTCAAACTCTGTCGGGCTCACTTCTGCATATCCCATAGGGTTACCATACGTCCTCTTTTTCCCGGACATGTCCGGCTTTTTGGCAGTCAAACCCCCGTCCGGGGGGAATTGCCAAAAAGCCGAACATGTCCGGGAAAATGGCAGCTCTGCTCCTCCCCGACTCTTCGGCTCTGTTTAAGAGCCGGGCCGCCCGAGCGCTACCGGCTTCGGGCAGCTCCCGTGCCTCCGGACCCTGCGCTCCCAGCCGGGCACTTCCCCTCCCAGGCTCCAGCTGCACTGGGGAAGCGCCGGCTGGGGGCGCAGGGTCTGGGGGCTGCCTGGCAAACCCTGAAGCCGGTAGCACTGGGGCAGCCCTTTCCCCTTGGCTGGGAGTGGGAGGGAGGAGGGGGCGGAGTTAGGGTGGGGAAGGGGCGGAGATGGGGCGGGGCTAGGGGTGGGGAAATGGGCGGGGCCAGGGCCCGTGGAGGGTTCTCTTTTTTTATTTATGAGATATGGTAACCCTATATCCCAGCCCCATTTTGAATTGTAACATGCTATGCCAATTTATTGCTTTAGGGCTCTCTGTCGCTCTGCACTGGTTTATTATTGCAGAGCAGGCACAGTGCTCTGGCTTATTGTTATAAGGCTATAATGCAGTAGGGGTTGTTACTGTCGTCAGTCATGGGTTATTATTGTATTGGGTTATTATTGTAGGCCTAAACTGGGTTATTACTGTAAAAATGCTACACTACACTGGGCTATTATTATTGTTGGGTCATCATGCTGCACTGTTTTATTATTTTAGGGTTGTAGAGCTGATATTATACACCACTCAGGCTGTGCTATGTTAACTGTAGGACAGTTATGCTGTGCTGGGTTTATTACTGCGGGTTGATTTATTGTACACAGCTAGGCTGAGGTAAGCTGTAATTTATAACATAGCCGTACTATTCGCAGAGTGCTGCAGTGCAGTGTTATTGTAGGGTTGCTGAGAGAGTGAACTGGGTTATTGTACAGCAGCTAGGTTATTGCACTGGGTTATTGCAGGGTTGCTAGGTTACAACACTGGGATACTGTGGGGTTGCTGGGTTAGGACACTGGATTGCTAGACTATGAGATCCATCAACTCCCACGTTGTTTTTTGTTTTGTTTTTGAAAGTCTGGTGGTGATTTGCTTAAAGCCGCAAACGCTGCACTCCGCCCACGGCAGGAGAAGCTCCGCTCCCGTGGTTAGAGGGAAAGGCTGGACTCGCGCCCCAGCCTCCCGCAGCCCCCGGGACACGGACCAAACGCCCATCAACACCCGGCTGCACGGGGCGCTCGAGGGCGGGATTGTTATTGTAGGGTTGCCCAGCAACTCCCGCGCTTCGGCCTTCCCGGCAGGCAGGGCCCGATCCTGCGTCCCCGCCGGCCCCCCATTGCCTGCAACCGCCGGTCCCCGCCTCTTCGGGCCGCGCAGGCGCAGTCCCGCCTTCCCCCAACCCGGAAGTGCTCCTCGCTTCCCCCCGCCCCCTCCGGTTTGGTTCGTCCCACAATCCCCCGCGCCTTCCTTTCCGACCTGTGCCCGGGCAGGGTGAGTGGCTCGTTACGGGGCCCGGCCGCCTATCCGCCGCCATCCGCCTCGCCGGGCCCCGCCGAGCCCCGGGCCCCGCCCGGCCCGAGTGGCCAGGGGACCCCGCGCCCGGGGCACCGGGTATTGCGGGCGCGGGGCACAGGGACCCGGGCCTGGGGGGGATGTGGGCAAAGGCCTGGGCTGGGGGGGAGGGGAGGGGCTGTGGGCACAGGGGGCTGGGAGGGGGTTATGGGCACAGGGGCCCGCACGGGGCTGGGGCCCAGGCCTTGTATAGGGCGGATGGGAGAGGTGCGAGTGCTTGTTTAGCAGTAGGAGGCATCTCTAGTGCTAGGGTTTGCTCCAGGTTTTGAGGGCAGGGCCAAGGGGGTTTCCTGAGTGCCCCGGAAGCTGGAGCCAAGTGTAAAAGCCTGGTTCTGTGCTTTCGGGGTGTCATGTGAGCATGGGTGGGGAAGGGGGAAGCAAACTGAAGCATGGTGCAGCACCTTGCAGTAGGGCCTGGGGAGGGGGGAATCATGGAGTTGTAACACTGAAGCTGCATGTTTTGAAAATTCTAAAAAAAAAAGAAACCTGCCAGGCTTGTGCTCTGTAGAAAGTGGATTAAGCTGAACTAGACTTCTGACTGTAGAAACCGTAATGTGTGAGGGGGAAAGGGTTAGAGATGACTTGCTGGAAAGGCCCAAACCGAGTCCGTGATTTTCAATGTTGCACAGATGGCTCCAGCAAAGAAAGGTGGAGAAAAGAAGAAGGGGAGATCTGCCATCAATGAGGTGGTGACTAGGGAATATACCATCAACATTCACAAACGGATCCATGGAGTGTGAGTGGCTTTTTTCATGCCTTGTTTGTCCCGATAAAGTTGACCTTACTTTACCTGCTTAAGATGGCTGGTGTTTGGAAATGGTTCCAGTAAGCTTTCTACCTGTTGGCAGTGGATGGTTGTAATTAAAGATGCTGATTTGAGTGTGATGGGGTATATTAGGCCTCAGTTCTGCACCTGCATGTAGACCTGTGCAAATCCAATTGCAACATCAAGGCCTGAGTGATTATGGTTTCTAGGAAATGCAGTTCTCAGGATGTTTTTCTCACTTTCCATGATTTTTCCTAGGTTTAACACACTGCTATTGTGTTTATAGAGAGTGAAGACTTGTACAGGAACTCTGTCATTTTACTTGGGAGCTGGCTGTATAGTTATATTCAAGTGGGAGAGAGACTTTTTTTAACTTGAGTTTAGTTTTATAAATTTTAAGGAGCCAATAATAGGAAAGTATCGGATAGATGAGAGAAGTTTTTCTACTGAGTGGAAGATAATTGATAAACATCAATACTTTTCTACAGAAGTGGGGAGGGGGAAAAACACTTTTTTTCCTCTGGTGATTCAGTCAGTTCCTTTTGTTCTTTCCACTTTCTGATTCTATAAATCTATTTCATTTTATTTACTTTTTTGAGGCTGCTTTTTTTTTTCTCTCACTACCAGGAGGTACTTGGTCTGAAATACTGTTTGTGTTTCCCTCTTGTTTAGTCTTCCTGCCATCTTGCTCCTAACCTCTCTTTCCCCACCGACTCCTAGCATTAGATATTAATCTGTCAGCAATATACAAATGGTGCTTTGACATGTGCTGTGCTACCTTAGTTTAAAAATCTCATCCAAGGGGCAACTTGAAATAAGCCCTTGGAGCCAGTTAGTACAACAGGCTTGTTGTAGTGAAATTTTATTGAAATTGTATGTACATTACACATCTGTATCTATTTAGAAATAACTTGGTGATTTTTGAGAAAAGATGCAGTTGTTGCAACAACAATAAGGTTAGCATAGTCCAACAAAACCTTTTGGCTTTATATGCTTATGGAATGACAGTCTGGCTAGATCCATGGCAAGTTTCCAGTG